GGCGCAACTGGAGCAACTGGCACACGGGCAACTGGAGCAACTGGCACACTGGCAACTGGAGCAACTGGCACACGGGCTACTGGAGTAACTGGCTCCGCGGCTGAAAGTAGCGGCAGACGAGCAACGGACTCACGGGCGACTGGAGCAACGGGCTCACGGGCGACTGGCGCAACGGGCTCACGGGCGACTGGCGCAACGGTCTCACGGGCGACTGGAGCTGCTGGCTTCACGGCGGCCACCCCCTTCAACCTCCCCAAACTATCCCACTCCCCCTGACACACACCCGCTGCTACACCGCTAGCTCCACTCCCCCTTCACCACCCCCTTAGTACCACTCCGACGGCTCCAACAGGTCCACCCCCCTCAGCGGCAGCTGCAGCACAGGGAGACGGAGGAGGAGGAGGAGCAGGGAACGGCACACAGAAGCTGCACCCCCATACCCCCCACCCCCAAACCCTAATCCAGGAGTACGGGCAGAAGGAGGGGTGGGGCGCCTTCAGAAGCACGGGGGACAGCGGGGAGGACAGGGGCAGCGAAGAACGGGCCGCCCACGGGTCTGGCACAGCCTCCCGAACCGCGCGCAGGCGGCCCGAGCCGCGCGCGGGCCTGGCGCAGCCCGTACGGGCCGTGCGCCGGCTGTACGGGCCGCGCGCAGGCCACGACGGGCGACGGGGGGCGACGCGCGGGTCCCCGTCGCCCGTCGCAGCGCCTCCCGGGAGCAACGCGCGGTGTGACGGGGCAGAAACCCGCTGCGCGCCTCGGGGCGCACGGCGGGCAGAGAACCGCCGCGCGCCTCGGGGCGCACGGCGGGCTGAAAACCCTAATTTCAACGCCGCGTACCACGAGGCGCGCGGCGGACAGGGAGTAGCAGTAGCAGCGGAAGCAGTGAAGTGGTGGGCCCACAGGACAAGAGCGTAACCGCTCTGATACCATGTCAAGATAGTAAGGACAGTGAGAAGCCATAGCCAGGGTTGACCTAGTTAGGCAAGCAAGAAATGAACAAAGGAGAGATTACACTAGCAAGAATGGGGATACAAATAGCAAACCCTAGAAGGGTTGTACTCGCTATAGAGCACCCCACTACAGGCTAGAGCATAATATTATGACACGCACCCCCAGGCTCAGCACCCCCAGAAGTAGCACCCCGAGCAGGACCACCCTCAGTAAGACCTGAGTCACCAGTGACCTCAACCGGCGCAGTCAAGGGAGGAGGGTCTACCTGAGAAACACCTGAAGGAGCAGGACCTGGAGCGGGGAGGGGGTCTACCTGGGGAGCACCTGGAGCGAGAAAGAGCGGCGGGGGGGGGGAGCGGGGCAGTGCGGTAGGGGAAGAGACGGTAAAAGGGAACCGACTCGTCGAACGTGACGTCCTGAGACGCAAAGACACGGCGCGAGGTGGGGTGGTAAAACTGCCAACCAGGCGCGTCAGGGACAAAGCCAAGGAAGACATAGGGAACAGCACGGGCGGAGAGCTTGTCCGCGGTGGTATCGCGGACAAAGGCACGAGCACCCCAGACCCGGAAACGCGACGCATCGCCAACCTTCCCCGTCCACAGCACTGTGGGCGAGGTCTCCGGCAAGGAGACACGGGCCCAGAGATTGAGCTGATGCGCGGCGTACCGGACCGCAAACGGCCACAGAAAATGGGGGGCAGCCGCATGGATCATGGAGGTACGAGCGACCTCCATGACTAAGCCAATGCGGCGCTCAGCAACCCCATTCTGCTGTGGAGAGGCCGGAAGCGTGAACGACTGGGTGATGCCGTGCTCTGTACAGTAGGCTGCCAAGAGGTCTGAGGTGAACTCACCACCTCTGTCAGAGTGCAGACGCAGGACAGAAAAGTCCCGCCGGAACCGCTCGCGGAGCTGGAGACGAACAGCGCGGATCCAGGGGATCAAAACATCAGGGACGTCCCCCTTGCTGCGCAAGGGGAAGACCGTGGTGTAGCGCGTGTAGTCGTCGACGACCAGCAGGAAGTACCGCTCGTGGCCCTGTCCACGGACGCGGGCTGGGCCCTACACGTCCAGGTGGAGAGTCTGCAGGGGAGCCTCTGTGGGAGGGAACGAGGAGGAGTGAGGAGCGGCGCGCTGCCGCCCCTCGACACAAGGAATGCAGGGCGGCGCAGGCGAGGGAGGGAGGGTAGGCAGAGACCTGGGAAGACCAGAGACCAGGGAGCGAGAGTGCATGCTACGCAGGCGAGGCAGGGAGGGGTGACCAAGGCGGTGGTGCCACAGGAGAGTGTCGTGCGACAAAGCGCGACACTTGCAGGGGGCCGCCGGCTGACCAGACGTAGACGCAGACGCAGCTACCTGAGGGGACTCAGTGGTCAGTGTGTACAGACTCGAGCCAGGTGCACGGGTGAACGTGGCCAAGTGCCGGACCGTCCGAGCACACGTACAGTGAGTCACTCGCTGACTCGCAGGAGTGAATTGGTCAACCCCCCGATCCTGGAGGTCAGCTCCACTCACCAAGTTCGTAGAGAACGAGGGGAGGTAAAGACCTGACAGCGAGCCGGACGGGCGGCCGGACACCGCAGAACCGTGGAGTAGTGGGCAAGGACGGGACCCCCGGAGGGGTCCGCCAGGGAGACTGGAACTGGCCGACTAAGCGGCGTGAGTGTGGTGCAGACGCGAAAGAAGGAGCGGGAAGCTCCTGAGTCAAGGGTCAAGGTGTGCGAGACCGCAGCGGGCGCAGTACCAGAGAGAGCAGACTCACCAGCACCTGAAGCAGGAGACGTACTAGCACCGAGAGCAGCAGCCTCACCAGCACCTAGAGCAGGAGACGCACTAGCACCTAGAGCAGCAACCTCACCAGCACCGAGAGCAGCAGGCTCTATACCAGGGCCAGGCGGTACGCACAGGTAACAGGCACGGTCAGCACTAGTAGGCAATGCATACATGGCAGTGAGAATAGCATCATAGTCAAGCGCAAAGATATCTACCTAGGGAGCTCAGCCTCGTCGCCAAACACTGTGCGCCAGTCGTCGCTCAGACGGGCGAAGCAGCGGGACTGTGTGTGACCAAGCGTCCCACAAGGCTGACCAGTCCTAGCACATGTGCGAATGACGTACGGGCAGCCAACTGTACGCGTAGACCTGCTACACTGAGCGTACCACTCATGGAGCTGCTGGAGCGTAAGTGTCTCGCGTGGACGCCGCTGCAGCTGCAGCTGGCCACTGCCAGACGCCCCCAACTGACCGGCTCCAGGGCGACAGCTACGACGGCTACCGCGACAACCCCAAGTAGCGTACCACTCACTAAGCTGTTGGGGCGTGAGAGACTCGCGTGAACGTCGCTGGAGCTGCATCTGGTCACCTCCTAGTAGCAGTAGTAGCCGCAACAGCTCGGGTAGGGCAGGCGCGGCAGGCAGGCAGGCAGGCCGGCAGGCAGGCAGGCAGACAGGCCGGCAGGCAGGCAGGCAGGCAGACAGGCAAGCAGATAGACAGGCAGACAGGCAGGCCGGCAGGCAGGCAGGCAGGCAGGCAGACAGGCAGGCCGGCAGGCAGGCCGGCAGGCAGGCAGGCAGACGCTCACCAAAGGCTGGGAGAGCAGGCGCTCACCGGGCGAGCAGGGCCGGCGCTCGACGGGCGGCGACCGAGTAGGCGCACGACAGCGGCGACATCGGGGCCGCAACACCGGCTGCAGAGCAGGGCCGAAGCAGCTGCAGGGCGGGGCCGCTTCAGCGGCAGTTGCAGGGTGGGGCCGCGTCAGCGGCAGGTCGGGGCCGTGGCAGCTGCAGGGCGGGGCCGCATCAGCGGCAGGTCGGGGCCGTGGCAGCTGCAGAGCGGGGCCGCATCAGCGGCAGGTCGAGGCCGAGGCAGAGGGCCGCGCGCGGCTCGGCGCGGGCTGCACTGACAGCACGCTGAGCTGCTGCAGGCCGCGCGCGGCCGCGCTAGGCAGTAGCGGGCCGCGCGCGGCTTGGCGCGGGCTGCTGCGGGCCGCGCGCGGGCCGCGCGAGGCAGTAGCAGGCCGCGCGCGGCTCGGCGCGGGCTGCTGCGGGCCGCGCGCGGGCCTCGCGAGGCCGTAGCAGGCCGCGCGCGGCTCGACGCGGGCTGCATAAATTCGGCGCGGGCTGCGCGCGGCAGCAGCGGGCTGCGCGCGGCTCAGTGCGGGCTGCGCGCTGCTGCAGTGGGCTGCGCGCGGCTCGGCGCGGGCTGCGTGGGCTCGGTGCGGGCTGCGCGCGGCTGCAGCGGGCTGCGTGCGGCTCAGTGCGGGCCGCACGGGCTCGGTGCGGGCAGCGCGCGGCAGCAGCGGGCTGCACACGGCTCGGTGCGGCAGCACGCGGCAGCAGGGGGCCTGACGGGCCTGTAGGGGCTGTTCGCGGACCTGACGGGTCTCCAGGGGCGGCGCGTGGGCCTTACGGGCCTGCAGGGGCAGCGCGCTGGCCTAGGGCAGCAGGAGGCAGCACTAGGGCTGCAGGATGCACGTAGTGCAGCACGTCACAAGGCAAGGCAAGGCAGGCAGGTACGTGGGGTAGCGTGGTAACCGCAGCGGTAGGTGGGCCCGAAAAAAAAAACGGTCCTACGGACCTTAGTGCTCTGAAACCATGTCAGAATCTAACAGCAGGAATGATTGAACTAGCAGGATGCAGGAGTACAAGTAGTAAACCCTAATTGGGTTGTACCCCATATGGGCTACCCCACTACAGCCTAGACAATATGCAGCACATATAGTTTGACAGAAGCTCCTCTAACGGCTCTCTGTAGAAAGAACCCCTCTGTTTGTAGTAAAACATGTAAACCCTAGTTTGTATACAAGGCGTTGTCTAGACTCATACACGCACACAAGTATCTTATAATTCGAAAGACCCAACTATAAGAAACACCCCACTAAAACACCCCGACTTCGATTTTTCGCTATCTTATATCCTCACATTCACGTTAATATGGTTACTGTGGCATTTGACCGGACCACGTTTGTGCAGGGCCATGTAATGTTTCTCATTGGTATTTAAGCTCATTAGTAGCATTGGGATTCTCATGCCGATTACGCAGCCATGTGCTACTGTGTCTTGACAGTTTTTGGGCGGTGAGGCTTGTACACCATTGGCAGAAAAATCAAGAGAATTGGGATGACAGTACCAGTATAGTACATGCCACTATAGGCTGAGTACGCTCCCGATAGTGTCATCACCTGCATCATGAACAGCAATAGCAAACACAGTCAAACGAGAGAAGCAATGCGCATGAACGAGAGGGCATTATAGATGCATGGAGGCCCATCGTGGAAATTACGGCCCCAGCAGCGAGGTTTACTGGAGAGTCAATGAAAAGAAAATTAGAAAAGAAGGAAGAAAAAGAAAAGTAAAACATGCACACTTACGCAGAAGGCGCTTGCCAAGTAGCTGCAGACGAAGATGCTATAGAGGGTATGAAGAAGCGTTACAATGCGGTGGGTGTTGGTGCCCTTGGCGATTCCAGCAGTGAGCTGGTAGATGGCTGCATGAGAGGGAAGAGGAATGAAGGGGAGGGGAGGAGGTGACTTTTGAGCCGACTGAAAAGTCACCTCGTTACCATGCGGTGGTTGCTGGTGCCCTTGGGAATTCCATTCCAGCAGTGAGCTGGTAGTTGGCTGCTTGAAGGGGAAGAGGAACGAAGGGAAGCGGAAAAGAGGATTTGAGAGAAATAAATTCGAGCGCAAGTTTGCAGGAACTGGTGTGCCCAGGTAACAGGTAATCATCCCATGGTCGGGAAACAGGAAGCGGAAATGGGTATGGGATTTGGGTATGGAATGGTGGTGGGAGTGGTAGTGCGAATGCAAATGGAGAATGGATATGGCAATGGAAATGGGAATGCACAGTAGAAATGGATGGGTATGGAAAAGAAAACAGGCTCGGAAGAAGGAATGGCAATGGGATGGAAGTACTCGAATGAAAATGGAAACTGAACGAGAGGAAAAAAAAAACTCGTCAGAAGTGCAGGAAATAGCAGGATTGTAATGGTCTTCATTTTATATTCATGCAACTATCCATCCTGCTCTGTGTCCACACCTTTAGAGCTGGCAACAACAAGCGCCCAATTGGCAAAAAAGATGAAGTCACCCCAGTTCAAACCCTGTGGGAAACACAGAGTGGGGGTTTGGAAAAAGTGCACATGGTCGGGAGATTATGGAGTGGGAGAAACAGCCTTTGGGAAAACAAATAATCGACACAGAGGGTGCAAGGGAAAGCAGCAATGCATATGGCTCTGCCCGCATATGGCTCTGCGTGCATATGGCTCTGCCCGCATATGGCTCTGCGTGCATATGGCTCTGCCCGCATATGGCTCTGCGTGCATGGGGCGCTGTAGAAGGTTTTGTACACTCAGAGAATAAGAAGCTTGCTCTAATGGAACCAAGGCTATATGTGCTAATCGTTAAAAGCTGCAGTGGTTGTTAAGATGCAGTACTGTGGTGCCAAAACCAAAAATTCCAAAATGGTGCCAATATGAGCAATAGCGGTGTGGCTGCTGGCATGAGAGTGAGGTGGGGTGACGTAAATGGGGACAGGAGAGGGTGACGCAGAAATAACAATCGTTCGAGATGGCATGGGGCCATGAACATGGCAGATAGGGGTGACGCACGTGGGAGAGAGAAGCATGGGGAATAGGAGTGAGGCACATGGGACATGGGGTAAGGGAGAACGCACATGGGAGACAGGGTAAGGGAGAACGCACATGGGAGACAGGGTAAGGGAGAACGCACATGGGAGACAGGGTAAGGGAGAACGCACATGGGAGACAGGGTAAGGGAGAACGCACATGGGAGACAGGGTAAGGGAGAACGCATGGGAGACAGGGTAAGAGAGAACGCACATGGGAGACAGGGTAAGGGAGAACGCACATGGGAGACAGGGTAAGGGAGAACGCACATGGGAGACGGGGTAAGGGAGAACGCACATGGGAGACAGGGTAAGGGAGAACGCACATGGGAGACAGGGTAAGGGAGAACGCACATGGGAGACGGGGTAAGGGAGAACGCACATGGGAGACAGGGTAAGGGAGAACGCACATGGGAGACAGGGTAAGGGAGAACGCACATGGGAGACAGGGTAAGGGAGAACGCACATGGGAGGCAGGGTAAGGGAGAACGCACATGGGAGACGGGGTAAGGGAGAACGCACATGGGAGACAGGGTAAGGGAGAGCGCACATGGGAGACAGGGTAAGGGAGAACGCACATGGGAGACAGGGTAAGGGAGAACGCACATGGGAGACAGGGTAAGGGAGAAGGCACATGGGAGACAGGGTAAGGGAGAACGCACATGGGAGACGGGGTAAGGGAGAACGCACATGGGAGACAGGGTAAGGGAGAACGCACATGGGAGACAGGGTAAGGGAGAACGCACATGGGAGACAGGGTAAGGGAGAACGCACATGGGAGACAGGGTAAGGGAGAACGCACATGGGAGACAGGGTAAGGGAGAACGCACATGGGAGACAGGGTAAGGGAGAACGCACATGGGAGACAGGGTAAGGGAGAACGCACATGGGAGACAGGGTAAGGGAGAACGCACATGGGAGACAGGGTAAGGGAGAACGCACATGGGAGACAGGGTAAGGGAGAACGCACATGGGAGACAGGGTAAGGGAGAACGCACATGGGAGACAGGGTAAGGGAGAACGCACATGGGAGACGGCGCTGACGAGCATGGTGGTGAGCATGTGGACGAAGGTGGGCCTCCTGCCGGGCGGCACCATGCGCTCGTACACGTCTGTGCGGGGCGCAACACACGTGACCAGCAGAGGACGGATGGCAGGGAGTCACGAGGGAGCAGCGGTCAAGCACGCCGCATGATGCATGAAGAATGAAGCAATGTCGCATGGTGAAGCATGGCGTAATCTTGATACATGAAGCACGAAGTTGAAACATGGAGCATGAAGCACGGAGCACGGAGCACAGAGCATGTGTATGCCAGCCAAAGTGGAAAGGACCAGAAGGCTAGGATAGGAGCACATGCACACGAACGGTTGAAGAGCGATGCTCAAACTCGCAGAGGTCGAGGAACGGTTCAGAGAGGTCCAAAGAGGTGCAGGGAGCTACAAAGTGGTTCAAAGAGATTCAGGTAGGTCGAGAGGTGAAGGTGCCGTGCGGCGTGGACTCACAGAGCCTGAGCCAGAGGCCGTAGGAAATGTTCCACGTGGTGGCGAAGTCGAGGCAGCTCTTGGGAAACTCAACCCCCAGTATGTCCGCGTTGCGAGCCCGGTTCCACAGCGCCTTCCCCTCCCCTGCAGGCGCCGCATACGCCTTACCACCCTCATGCTTCCCTGCATCCCCATCCCCGCCACCCTTCCCATACCCTTTCCCCCCTTCCGATTCCCCCCCGTTTCCCTTCACGTCCCCACCCTTTCCAGTGTCCCCATTGGGGGCCTCCCAGCCGCTGAACCCCAGGCGACCGACGATCATGGCAGCCTCGGTGATGCTCCAGAGGATGTACGCTCGGAAGCGCCAGACGATGCCGGCGTGGTGCGCGTAGAGCCAGCGCAGGTGGAAGGGGAAGGAGCGGTTCTTGCGCAGGTCGCTGATGCGCGTGAGGTCCAGCGAGGGCGACACGAGCAGGAAGACGGCCGCTGCCACGACGCCCTGGATGAACGCGCGGCAGAAGGGCGGCAGGATGGGTGCCTGCTTGAAACCCGGCGACCAGATCTGCAGGGGAGGGATGGATGGCAACAGACGGACGAGTGAGGTTATGGATGAACGAGTGGAAGAAGGGCGGGAGGACAGATGGCTGCTTGAGACCCGGGGACCAGACCTGCGGGTGGTGAGGAGTGGGGTGGATGGGTGGGAACGTGCAGAGTGGTGAGGCGCGCGTGTGGAGAGATGATGCCATGAAGGAATTCACGGAAGGATGGTGGAAGGACAGACAGCAGTTTCAGCTTGTAGGTCCATATTAAGTGCACTGTGAGGAGAGGCGAGATGAAATGTAGGAAGACGGAATGGACGAGATGAAAAGTGGAGGGGAGGTTCGACACAAGAAGATGAAAAGTAGGAGCACGAGAGCCCGAATGATGTGGCTGCAGGAGGTCGCTCCAATCGCGAACGCTCCATCCGCTCCTCCCGCCGCCTCTGCTCCTCTGTTAGTTCCTTCCTCTCCTTCTCGTCCTTTGCTTGCGCGCCTTCGTCCTTCTCCTTGAGCAGCGTGAGCCCGTCCTGGTAGTTATACGCGACAGCGGAGAGCTTTGTAGCGAGGACGGTGAGCGCGCCTGTGCAGTCGAGCACGCCCTCCGTGCGGGTCTCGTGGGTCCGCATGATGACGTGGCTGCAGGAGGTCGGATCGCGTTGAACGAGGGAAATGCAAGTCAACGTCGGTGAGGTTCGAAGCGGGAAATGCGGAGATGAAGGTATGTTGGCATGAAAGTACAGAGGGATGAACGTTAGCTGGAAGAGGATGCAAAGAGGGGAAACGAGACGGCTGGCAATGACACAGACGGCGCTTAAAGCCCTAAGTGCAAAGGTTTGCCCCTAAGTACAGTCTTGACCTTGTGCGGCTTGACTCTTGATTCCAGAAACACAGAGACACCAAGAAGTAGAGAACGACGGGGAAGGGGGAACTTACCACCCAATCAAGTACGCGAACGTTCCCAAGAACGTCAGGACGCCGCATTTTCTACGAAACAGCCGCATTACGGCCATGGAGTAGAGCATGCACACGAAGAAGTGCGCGTCCGCCGTCCATCCGAACACGAACGCCGATAGAAGCAGTCCCGTTACTGTGCAGTACAGATGGCGGAGTGAAGGTGATGAGATGAATCTGTGAAGCCACGCAATCGGGACGAACGCGAAGCTAGCTAGCAAGAAAGTCGCGGCTGGACGGGGCGTGCCGAAAAGGTCAGCGAAAGACTGTATGGGATCCATGGCGGGTGGAAAAACAGTGGGCCGATGCGGAGGCGAGAGGCGGATCAAGGCTGTTCTTGCTCTTGTCCTTGCTTGTTCTTGTTGTTCCTGTTCTTGTTCTTGATCTTGCTGGTGTTCTAGTCAACGTACTCCCCGCGTTGTCCATTTTATAGCAGCTCTTTATGCAAAGAAGAAGATATTCAAGAGGCCGCGTCCTTCCCTCCCTTACACTCTTCACGTTTTTTTCTCCGCGCCTCTTCGCCACCCGCTGGTACTAGCAACCCCTTGCTCCCCCTTCCCCCTCCCCCGTTCCCCGCTCGCCTGTTTGGCGCGTGCCGTGCGCGCCGCGCGCAAGAGAAACACGAACTCTGTCAGGCTACGATCAGCAGCACCACCGTGGGCTACTACCGAAGCCTAAGACCGAGACTTGGCAAGACTGAGACCGACGGAGTTTGAGATGTTCGAAATGACGATGACGCAACGGGCATATGGTGAAGCTGCCGCCGTGGTGGCGTGCTGCTGACAAAATCGCAACCATCTATCAATGCACCGGATGGCAAATCGCGAGCGTTGGCGAGAATGACTCCGAAGACTTGTATACTAGGCAAACCGCGACGACGTGTCAGAAATGCATACTGCAATGTGTACATTCGTTCCGTGGATCCGCGCACGTGAAGCAGGGGACGCTCGGACGAGAAAGAAGAAAAAGAGCACTGGCAGTCTGTCACAGACTGCCATGCGAGAAATCCCCCGAGAAAATCTCCCCTCGCGCCAAGGAAAGCCCTTTCCGACCGAAGGCCTTTCTTGAAGGGACCCGACCGACCCGATGCCCTCGCCGTCGTAACCCGCAGCACGCGAAAGTAACCCTCCAGCGTGGCACTAGGGCACTAGGCCGACCACCTAGCGAGAAATTAGGACGCTGAGGCCGGAGGCGGGAAGAGCGCTGACGCAGCAGCGGTTGAGGGGACCGCATCCAACTTCCGTCCCGCCCAAATTGCGAACGTCGTGAAAGGGCATGAGCAAAATACGAACCTGGTCGGTTCGGAAACTTCCGAAGTCGAACCGAACTGGTTCGCATGGAAACCTGGTTGGTATCTGACAACTTGGCCAGCTTCGGTATCGGTTCTTGATTCGAATGTTGGCCTTCGAACCGGGCGGGTTCGACTCGTTAATAGGGAGGTTCGATAAGCCCAACACCAGGTGGGTAAAAGGCCTTCACGTTTCTTGTGTAATTCTGAAAGGAGCTCTTGATGATGCTTACAATAAGGTTTAGGGTGTAGAACCTAAGTATATTCTGTAAGTCTAAAAATGTAGCTCAGCAAACAGTTTAAAGCCGAATAACAAATCTTGATCACAATCTGGGCCCAGTTTGTCCATCCGGTTACCCGGTTTGCCAAGATTTGTATCGGGAAGAACAAGGGAAGCTACAAGCCCACCCACATGCAGGCAGAACTTGGGCCCAGCTTCATTGTAATTCGGGAAGAGTGGACAGCCATTTCCCGCAGGTTATTGATAAGTCCACTCATCACGCATGCTACCACCTGCATCCCATATGAGATACTCTCCTATACCGCGTGTAACTTAGTCGACCTTGTTGGAGATGGTTTTGTCAAACTATCATAATGTTTGTCCTGTGTAGGCTGTAGTGGGGTAGCCCATAAGGGGTACAACCAAATTAGGGTTAGCATTTGTACCCACTTCTCTGCTAATTACATCCATTCTCGCTCACTATTCTGACATGGTTTCAGAGCAGTAGGTCCGTAGGACCGTTATATATTTTTTTTTCGGGCCCACCATCAGCTAGTGACTGACTGCGGCTACCACGCTACCCCACGCCCTGCTCTGCCCCGCGCTGCCCGCGCACGACCTGTTGTGCCCTGCCTTGTGTCACGCAGCCCGTGCACGCTCTGCCCTGCGTCACGCTCTGCTCTGCCTGTCGCGCCGCCCTGCTAGCCACGCGACGCCCTGCCCTGCCCATTGCGTCGCCCGAGGACCCGCGCGACGCCCAACCCTGCCCGTCGCGTCGCCCTAGGACCCGCGCGACGGCCTGCCCTGCCCGTCGCATCGCCCTAGGACCCGCACGACGCCCTTCCCTGCCCGTCGCGTCTCCCTAGGACCCGCGCGACGCCTTGCCCTGCCCGCGTGCCGCACCTGCAGGCCCACGCGCTGCCCCTGCAGGTCCACGCTCTGCCCTCGCAGCCCTTGCAGCCAGCGCGCCGCCCCTGCCTGCCCGCACGCCACCCCTGCCTGCCAGCGCGCCGCCCTCTGCAGTCCGCGCACCGTCCTGCTGGCCGCGCGCCGTCCCTGCCTGCCCGTGCGCCACCCCTGTCTGCCCGCGCGCTGCCCTTTCATGTCAGCGCGCCACCCTACTCTGGCTGCGAGCCGCCCTTCCGTGACCGTGTGCCGCACGCCCTACCCTACGCTCTACCCTAGGACCTGCTCCCCGCCATGACTTCTCTTTGTGGTAGCAGTGGGAGTGGTGGCGGCGGCCATGGTGGAAATTGCGGTGGAGCTGTTCCGTGGGGAGTTTCTCGCGGTGGCCAGATGCAGCTGCAGGGGCGTTCGCACGAGACCCGAACTCCACAGCAGCTCCGAGAGTGGTAAGCTAGTAGGCGAGGTGGCGGTGGCCGTAGTGGCAGTCGCGGTGGAGCTGTTCAGTGGGGAGTTTCTGGCGGTGACCAGATGCAGCTGCAGCGGCGTCCGCGCGAGACCCTTACGCCCCAGTAGGTTCGTGAGTGGTACGCTCAGCGTGGGGCGTCTCGGAGTACAGCTCGCTGCCCGTACGTTATTCGCACAGGTGATCGGGCTGGTCAGAATTGCGGGAAAAGTGGTCACACTCAGTCTTGCTGCTTTGCTTGTCAGAGCGACTCATGGCGTGCAGAAATTGGCGACGAGGCTGAGATCCCCCGCTGGCTCGAGCTGCTTTGGTCATCTTTGCTCTTGACTATGACACTTTTTTTACTGCCATGTATGCTTTGACTAGTGGTACTGAGGGTGACTGTTACCTGTGTGCGCCGCCCGACCCTGGTATAGAGGCTGTTGCTCTAGGTGCTAGTGAGTTTGCTCTCTCTGGTACTGCGCCTGTTGAGGCCTTCTACACCTTCACGCTTGACTCACGTGCTTCCCGCTGTTTCTTTCGCGACAGTATCACACTCACACCGCTCCCTGCACCGGTTGCAGTCAGACTGGCTGACCCCTTAGGAAGCCTAGTTCTTGCACGTTCCACCACTGTTCTCCCGTGTCCAGCAGTTCCGTATGGCTCACTGTTAGGTCTTCACCTCCCCTCGTTCTCTTCGAAATTTGTGAGTACCGCTGCCCTCCAGGGTGTGATGGTCACTACCACCACTATTGGGTGTCAGCGTGTAGCGATCTGCACGTGTACACGGACGGGCCGCCACCTGGCCACATTCACCCGTCGGCCTGGGTTGAGCCTGTACACACTGACTACTGAGCCTCCCCAGGTAGCTGCGTCTGGTCAGGTGTTCGCGTCAGGTCAGGTATCAGCCCCCTGCTCGTGTCGCCACCTCTCGCACCAGACTCTCTCTCTGGCACCACCGCCTTGGTCACCCCTCCTTGCCACACCTCCGTAACATACACTCCCACCTCCTTGTCTCTGGCCTTCCCAGGTCTCTGCCCCCCCTCCCGCGCTCGCCTGCGCCGCCCTGCCTTCCTTGCGTCAAGGGGCGGCAACGCGCCGCTCCTCACTCTTTCTCGTTTCTCCCGACAGAGGCTCCCCTGCAAACTCTCTAGATGGACGTGTGGGGCCCAGCCCGCGTCCGTGGATTGGACCGCGAGCGGTATTTTCTGCTGGTTGTTGACGACTACACACGTGTACAACACGCTCTTCCCCTTGCGCAGCAAGGGGGTGGTCCCTGATGTCCTGATCCCTTGGATCCGTGCCGTACGTCTCCAGCTCCGTCAGCGGTTCCACACGGACCTTCCTGTCCTACGTCTGCACTCTGTCAGAGGTGGTGACTTCTCCTCCCACCTCTTGCGGGACTTCTTTCGTGGGGAGGGCATCCTCCAATCGTTCACGCTTCCGTCCTCTCCGCAGCAGAATGGGGTTGCTCAGCGCCGCATTGGCCTAGTTATGGAGGAGGCTCGTACCTCCATGATCTGCGCTGCTGCTCCCCATTTTTTGTGCCCGTTTGCGGTCCAGTACGCTGCGCATCAGCTCAACCTCTGGCCTTGTGTCTCCTTGCCGGAGACCTCGCCCACACTGCTGTGGACGGGGAAGGTTGGCGATGCGTCGGTGTTCCGGGTCTGGGGCGCTCGTGCCATTGTCCGCGATACCTCCGTGGACAAGCTCTCCTCCAGCGCCATTCCTTGTGTCTTCCTTGGCTTTGTCCCTGAAGCGCCTGGCTGGCACTTTTACCACCCCACCTCGCGCCGTGTCCTGTCCTCTCATGATGTCACATTTGACGAGTCGGTTCCCTTTTACCATATCTTCCCCCACCGCACCGGCCCTCTCTTCCTCGCTCCAGGTCCTCCTCCAGTAGACCCCCTCACCCCTCAGGGTCCTGCTCCTTCAAGTGTGTCTCGGGTAGACCCACTCCCCTTGGTTGAGCCTGTCGAGGTCACTGTTGATACTGGTGCTGCTCGGGGTGTTGCGTCTGGGGGTGCTGAGCCTGCGTGTGCGGAGCCTGAGCGTGCGGAGCCAGGGGGTGCTGAGCCTGAGCGTGCGGAGCCTGGGGGTGCTGAGCCTGTGGGTGCGGAGCCTGGGGGTGCTGAGCCTGAGTGTGCGGAGCCTGGGGGTGCTGAGCCTGAGCGTGCGGAGCCTGGGGGTACTGATCCTAGGGGTATTGCTTCTACACTACGGGAGCCTCTCTCACAGCAGCAGCTACGCGAGTGGTACACTCAGCGCACCCGCATTCGGAGTGGCGCTACTGGAGTTGGAGGCCCTGGAGCTACTAGTTCTGGAGGTGCTGGAGGTACTGCTGGTTTTGGAGGTACTAGGGGTGCTGGAGCTACTAGTCCTCGAGGTCCTACCGGTCTAGCCGGCGGGAGCCTCTCTCACCACA